TCTATTTTATATAGAATGAGGTTTTTCAAAAAGAAAATACAGAACATTCATTTTGATCTCCTCCCCAAGAATTCTCCAATTTTTCTCCAAATTTCTTGCAAACTATTTGAGAAAATCTTCTTGATTTTATCCTTCTTCGAGAATCATTCATCTTTGTTATCGATTCTTTGTGCTAAGAACGGAAAGACCTGTTAATTGTATCTCAAAGGGAATTTCCGGATTAACCCAAGCACCGTGTGGGGGAAATTAATCCCTTTAGGAAAGTATTCATACGCCTTTGACGGAGTATCAAGATCATAGTCTCAAGGGACATTGCAATTCTCATGTTCATGCTTGGTTGATTGGCTTGGAGTATAGGCAAGTGTTTAAGTCTTCATATTAGTGTATCTTTTAAAGATTTTCTGTAATTTCTTTGATATTATAATACTTGATTGTAACACCTTGGTTGTGTTTGGTTTGTATTACATTACATTGTTAGTGTAATCACATTATTTCATTATTTAGGTTTTGTCCCACACAATTTATTAAGTGTTTTTCTAGGTTGAATACACTGTAAACCTAACAATAACTAGGGCCTTTTCTGATGATGGTGAATATTCTGTAAAAACCTCTTATATGCTGGGGAAGAGGTGCAATTTTGATAGATTTCATCGCGCCTTTGTGATCTTGTGGGGGCTGAATGTCAGTCCTAAAGCATGCCATTTCCTATGTCGTCTCTGTACTGGTACGCTACCAGTGAAGGGTCTTCTCGCTGCAAGGCACATGATTGACACGTCAATTTGTCCAGTATGTTTGAACGAAGATGAATCAGCTGCTCATGCTATTTTTGGGTGTGTACGGGTGAGGGACTTGTGGATCGATAGTCGTTGTGCTCCTATGAAAAAATGGGAGGAACATGAATCATTTGGTAGTCTTGTAGAAAGCTGGAACAAGTTAGACAAGAAGATGGTGCAACGGGGAGTATTTCTTGCATGGTATATATGGCATGAAAGAAATAAGAAAGGCTTTGAGAACACCACGACTCCGAATGAGATTCTGCTTCAAAGGGCTGCTAGACTGTCAGAGGAATACGACAGTTACAACATCCGTATCTACAAGACCACAACTCCAAAGGCTGCTGCTAGTGCGAAGACATGGAAGGCACCCCCCTGGGCACCATAAAAATAAATATGGATGCCTCTCTGGTTGATGCACGATGGGTTGGACTGGGTTCGGTGGCGAGAGATCATGAAGGGAGAGTGGTTTTTGTTGCCACAAGGAGAGTCAGAGCTCATTGGCCACCAGAAATTGCTGAAGCAAAGGCGTTGGATTGGGCTATCAAGCTTGCTAGGCGATACAGTATGGAGGACGTAATCCTCGAGTCTAACTGCCAGTTATTAGTGCGCAGGCTGACCAAAGGAGCTGTTCATTTCACTAATTTGGATTTGGTCTTAGGTGACATTTTATTTGCTAGTTCTTCTTTTAAGTCGGTTAGTTGATCCCATGTAAATCATGATGGTAATTTTGTTGCGCACCATCTCGCTAAGCTAGTACCTTTTGATTGTGAACAAGTGTGGGAAAACCATTATCCTATTGAGGTTTCCCTGTATGTACTCACGGATTTTGCCTTGATTAATTAATACTAGCCTAGCTTTCTTCAAAAAAAAAAAAAAGAGGTTGTTTGGTTGTGGGTATTCAAGAAAGGAAAAAGGAATCAAATACCTTAATTCCCTTTGATGATGTTTGTTACACACATTCAATCATTCCCTTTACCCCTCCTATTACTCCATTATCCTCTACTTTGATTCTCACCCCCCCCCCCCACTTTAGGGAATCACTCTTTCCCCCAAATTTCTCTTCATCCAACTGCCATGACCAACTTGTAACTACCTTTGACCAAAACACCACCCAACAACCAAAACCACCGCCCAGCAACCATAGCCGTCGACGCCTAGCCACCATCACCATTGTTTAACCGTCACCAGAACCACCGCCCAACCGTCGACACCACCACCATCGACCGACCCAACTTCACCAGCATCACCGCCCACCCAAATCACCCTAAACCCACCCGAAAAAACCCACCCTCCCCGAAAACACCCTAAACCCACCCTCCCCGAAAACAATCGCACCAAATCGACCCAAACCCACCCGAAAACCCCACCTTTTGTGTAAACCACCTAACCCAATTCGACACAACCACCACCCATATCTCCAAAACCTCCAGATCCACAATAAAACCACCTCAAACCCTAAATTTCTCCATAAACACCCCTAGTTAGCCACAAACATCTAAAAAATAATCCTTAACACCTTATAAACAACCAAGCAACTAGATCTAAAATTTTAGAAAAATAAAAATTGAGAGAGAAGAGGGCATCTAGAGGGAAAGGAACCAGCGTGGCCAGGCAAGCGACAGGGGAGACGATGGCAGGTCGTGAGGAGGGTGGTGGCTAAATTGGTGGTGGTGGTAGGTGAATGGTAGATTTAAGGGGTAGTGGTGGTTGACTGGTTGTAGGAGGAGAGTAGTGGTGGTTGACTGGTTGTAGAAGGAGGAGAGTAGTGGTGGTTGCCTGGTTGTAGAAGGATGAGAGTAGTGGTGGTTGCAAATGTGATTCCCTTTGTTTATGTAAAACAAACAACAATACAAAAAAGAGGGATTAACTTTCCTTTCTCCTCCTTTCCCTTTGTTGATTCTATTTCGTTTACCTTGTGCGAACTAATCGGTCTCTAAGTAGTACTCCGTAGAGCTTGTTTCAAAGAGGTGGCAAAGACTACTTGAAGCAGTGTTTTCATTTTCTAGTAGCTTACTCCGTATATAATTTGAGGTAAGTTCAAGCTTCAACTCGGTGTATTAGTAAGAATAATTATGTTAGTAATATTTTTTAACAATCTTTAACCTTTAAGATTTATTGTAAGTAAAATAAATGATGAAAAGAGAGCTCGTGGAATTGTGGCCTTTGATCGGCAATATCAGCTTTGGGCTGGGTCTAAGTAGAGGTCCAAAAATCCACGTGTTGAATAATAGAGTCGCATGAATTGGACTGCCGCTTCTTGACTCGAGTGTCCGCCCATCAACTATCTACCACTCGTGATTTTGTAAAGTATGTACCACACCAACCTAAGCTTAATCTAATGAAATCTATACAATCTTAAGGTTTCGGGTTTAATCCCCATCAGAGGCACCTTAAGAATGACGATTTATTGTCTATCAGGAAAAAAAAAAAAAAAATGACAATGTATTGAGGCAAAACTTCTGATGGATCTAAGTAAGGGAAATTCCTCCCCCAAACTGCCCCTAGGAAGACTCTCCTTTCCATTAGGCAAACCTTAACTTAGTTGTATATACTAGCAATATACTAAGAAAATAAACTTTTAAATTTATAAAGGTAATTACATTATAAAACTTATCTCTTGATAATCACCTTTTAAGATACATTTAGCATTGAAACATGTTAAAAATTACCTAAAACAGATTAAAAGATATCCTAAAACAATACTCGATGCACCCAAAAGTTTTTGTACCTAAAACTTCAAAGGATAACTAAAAAGATAGACCACGTAATTGGTATAAACCTAACATAATCATTTTCAAATTTCAAACTAATGATCGACTATATAAATTGCTATCCACCAATCTTATACATTAATCGTTCTCCCGCTCCTCTTTTAATTCAAGACAACTAGTTATTCTTCTTCTAATAACAAAAAAACAAGCAAGCAATAAAGTTAAATCAAGCATGCCAAAAAATGTGTTCAATAGAACTGAAACCATGTCTAGGCAACAGACAATGGTCCAAACCACATGGTTATGCAAGCAGAAGCTGTTGATCAAACACAATAATATTTGATTTCAGAAACATTTATAATCTTATTATTTATGCGTTCAGATCCCGCACTCTATATAAATCATTGATTGCATTAAACTACAAAAGTATCATTTAATGTAACAACTACGGACTTTCAGATTATATACACTATATACAAGTATCATTTAATTATGTATACATGCATGTACTATATAATATGATTAGTAAAAATAATACTCCGTATTAAAAAAATGTGTGACAGTTTGACCAGTCTAACGGCAAAAATTGGCAGAGAGGTCTCTGGTACCCAGAAACAAGTTCCCCATCAAAAATTTACCACTATCATACTACTGGCTTCAAAATGGCAGTCTTCGAGGTCTCTAAACTCTCAATATCATATCTTATAATAAAAATTTATGTAAACTAAATTTATATTACTCGTATAAGATATGATATTTAAGTGTAAAAATTGTGGTAGCAGCAATATTGATGAATTTGGGTAGTAAGTATCTTAAGTTGGTTGCACATCCCAATAGCAGATAAGCCAACCAACACTTAACTTCTCCCTCCTCTTCTTCTCTCGTCTTTCAGTTGTCTGTACTCTTTCAATACCCACGTGATTGCCTTTATTTTCTTTTACCATATCACATGCCTTTCTTTTGCATTTGCCTGCTTCCTTCAGTCCTCTTCTACTCTACTTAATTCATGTACATGTACTCATGTACATGCACTCCCTCTTATATCACTTTCTCCTATCTATCTCTATTTGTTGGATTAATGCTTGCATGTCCGACTCAATAATAAATTAACGTATATAAATATTAATAGTCAAAGTGTTGTATTGAAAGATAAAAAAGATCTATAAAATTCAATTCTTGTTAGCTTAATGAGTGCTGGTGGGTCATAAGATTCTTGACTTGTTGATGTATGAGTTACTAGACTATTTCGCTTTTAAATGATGGTTACCATGGGTTTGATTTTATTGCTCCTATTTATGCATAGTGAAACACTAATTTATTTGTAACATATACATGACCAGATAATTAGGCCCGGTTGAACTCACTTTGTTAAGTGTTATTGATTTCAATTCAACCCGATGGATTATAAAGTTTTGATTTTGACATATGTAAGGACAAGATAGGTATTTCTCTAACAACATACGAAGTAGAAAAATATTTCGATTCGAGGGAAAGAGGTGGTGATTGTGCATGGCATAATAGTACTTCTCTCCCCCATATAATCTCTATTCCCTAAGGACCCTAACACTAACGTTTCCCCATATGGCTTTATTTTAGTGGGCTTATGTGCCTCCTTATTTTCTCCTCCATCACTAACACTTATGTTCCCCAATATCAAGATACTCAAATTTAAGATTCACTGACATGATGACTTAATGTTAAAGAGTATAATATTTACCATCATACACTCACACTACTTACTTACTACGGCGAGTATATATAAATTGTAACTCTATTATACTCGTACACATATACATTATGTCTTTGTTAGTCATATTATAGTAAGATCAAATTTACCTCTCAAATATTGAAACCTGGCTCAGTTAGCTGCATAAGTTTTTATGCAAGCTGAATGGGGAAGGCAGGCGGTACATCCTGGATTACCGCGGTGAAGAAGGTTTTCCGATCTCCTATGAAATCATCGCCTAAGAAAAACTGCAAGAGAAAAGAAGAATGTGCAAGAGATGATGAAGAAGAAGAAAAGGTGATGATTCTAATTAAGCATGTTTTCTGAATGTAGTTTTAGTAACAGTTTTCTGAAGTTCTCACCTGATAATCTGCTGTTATTTCTGAATGCCTGTCCACAGAAAACAGAGAAAAGAAGATGGATTTTCAGGAAAAATTCTAGTCATAATCAACAATATGAGGCAAACATGACTAGCAAAGAAGTGCAAGCAGATTCGATTTCAATCCATCAGCACAGACGCATAATAGCCGCGGCAGAAGCTAGTATAGCAGCAGCAAAATCAGCTGTGGCAACTACTAAAACTGCTATTAGAGTTCAGAACATAATACCTGCATATTTGGCTAGAGAATACTATGCTGCTTTGATTATTCAGACAGTTTTTAGAGGCTACCTAGTAAGTAACATACTCTTTTATCTATTTTTATTTTATTTAACCTTTTTGTCATCTTCGCCCGTACTGTTCGTTGTCAATACACATTGTGCCCCTGCATTTGTAGGCCTACAAATCACAAATGTACTGATTCTTTCAGAAACTAGTAATTCGTTGCTTCAATTTATGTATTGTTCACAAGGAAAATCCTTGATATTTAACCTTGCATCAAGCATGATTTTAAATCTTATACGAAGAAACTTGTACTTCGTAGTACTTTTCGAAAAATGAATAGGATATGTTGTTTATGCCTGATATATACAAAACTCAAGTTATACTCATGGATAAGAATTAAGTAGTTTTTTTTTCTGACTAGTGTTTTAGTTATATGCAGTTAATAGTTTTTACTTGTCAAAACTGATTTCAGTGGAATACCGCGAATTTTTTGTAATGCAAGTATCTGATTAGTACTAGTAGTAGAATTAGTTGCCAACAGATATGAACAAGGTCATTTTCAGAATATACTGAATACATACTTCAATTACTAATCAGTGGTCACTAAAGCCATATCAGAGGATTGTATGACTTGTGAGCATTGTTCAGTATACCATTTACTTCCACCACTGATACTAATTGCTTATCTGAAGGCAAGACGAGCTCTGCGAGCACTCAAGGGGATTGTGAAGCTGCAAGCATTAGTGAGAGGCCATAACATAAGAAAGCAAGCAAAGACGACATTGAAATGTATGCAAGCTCTGATTCGTGTGCAAGCTAAACTCTGTGATCAATCTTCACCAAAGGTTTCACATGGTCTAACCCGAAAGTCTATGTTTGCTGAAAGTAACAACTTATGGGACAAATACAAAAATATCTGTCAAAGAAAACCAATGGTAACACCCCCCCCCCCTCCCTCTCTATATGCATGCCGAGCCTTCTTTTCAACTTGTGACTAACTAGGCCGAAATTTCACCCCTTTATGCACCCTGATGTGCAGTCTGGAGATGAGAATAGCATTGAAGAGCAATGCAAAAGCCCTTTATACACAATAGAGGATATTGAAGCCATGTTTCAAAGCAAAAAGGAAGCATCTTTATGCCGTGAACAAGCCCTTGCCTTTGCCTTATCTCAACAGGTTTGTCACTTTACGTATATGCTTTGTTTTTTTCACCTACACAAGCTCGATTTACAACTAAAATAAGTTCAGACATGTTCCGAAATGGGGAGAAGAACGAAGCTTTTTTAACTTCCATTTGCATAATTTTGTCATTGGTTCAAATGATCACATGTGATATTTCTTATCTACATCAAGATACGAAGATTTGACCAGAAAGTATATCCAAAAGATGAGAAAGACCAGGAAAACAAGGACAACGAATGGCTCAGTCAGTGGCTGGACTCTAAAGAGTACAGTGAGAATCACATTAGACTAACAAAACACAAAATAGAGGCAGTAAAGAATGTTGAAATGGAGTCATTACCACCTCATCTCAGCACACCAACAAGTTTTCAGCGATCACAGCAGCATAGGAGACACAGCCTGCATGTTGCCTCTCCAGGCTTAAACACCACACGCCCTATGACCCCATCGCTACGCGATACAAGGCCACAGCAGGTTCAATCAGCAAGTCCGCGATGCAGTAAAGGATATAAAAGCCACTCAGCAGCAAATACCCCTAGCTTACGCTTGAGTACGACAACACCAAACTACATGGCAGCCACAGAATCAGCAAGGGACAGAGCTCGAACACAGAGTACACCCAGGCAGAGACATTCTACATCAGATAGAGAAGTTCGAGGGGGATCATCAGTAAGGAAACGACTCTCGTTCCCTAATCCTGATCCACAGTATCTAGGGAACATCTACACTACTGATTATAGTTCCTTCAGCCAGAACTTAAGAAGTCCAAGCTTCAGAAGTGTTCAGGAAGGTATGTATAGTCGTATAGATAGAGCGACTACCTGTTCTTCCTACACAGACATTACAGGAGGAGAAATTTCTCCAGCCTCAACAAGAAGTCATCTTAGAAGGTGGTTAAGTTAAACGAATAGAGATAAACCAGGGGAATTAAGGGATCATATCTTATATCTGACATGTTGATTAATGTTAACTAGGAGTCTAGGATTAAATCCAGTGTTTTATTATCATTGCTGTAGAAAATTAGTTTGAAATCTTACTCTATTTAAAACCTCTAATTCTGATTCATTATCTTTTTGTTTAACTACTATGTTAATAAAACTCAGCTTAGCAATAATCTCATCACAATCTCTCAATGCATCAAAAGCCCTAACCACACCGTTCCAATGATGATCATTTCTCAAATCCAAGACAACTTCAGCTGTAGCCTGATGATCATTTCTCAAATCCAAGACAACTTCAGCTGTAGCCTTAAGAGTCGCACTCTAGCTGCGGCTCTTTGATCAACTGATGGACGTTGGCACGCATACACTCTAGTTGATTACCATCTGTCGTCAAATGTTGAACAAGTTGTTCAAGATCAGTTAGTTTCAAACTTCAAAGACAGACTTCCAATGTCTAATGACTACTGCATTTGGATTTTGTCTATTCATAACTGATACTCTCTGATTTACTGATATCTCTAACATATTGTACTAAACAATCTTAAATTTGCAAGTTTTTCACAATTTTCCTAAACCTAAAGAATAGGGAAAGATTCGAAAGAACAATAGTCTCAATAAATTACTGAAACATTAAACAAAGCCAAGGTGTTTTGTTGAAAAAAAAAATCGTATTACAAAACCTTTTCAAAATTCATTAACGACTACAGTAGATAACCCTTTGTAATGCATGCATATGCCTAAAAAAAACAGTTGAAATAGACTGCAAGGGCAAGTATGCAGGCAAAGCTTCACCATCAAAGTATACTCCTCTTACAAAAATTGGTGAGAAAAGAAAGAGAAAACCACTTATCAGATAGTGTACTCAAAATAACTTCTAAAAAATGTGTTACTTGTACAATTAAAAAAGAACGGGCAAAAGTAAAGATACCGATTCAAGGCACTAGGTAAGGTCCGATCTAATATACTTCGTGGTTTAGGTTTGAATTATGCTAATTCATTGTGTCCTTTGCCCCTTTAAGTCAAATTTTAGATCGACCACTATTGAATTAGTCAAGTTTTATCGAAGTGGGTCAGACACATCTAGTCTAGGTGAAAGTATGCAAGCCAAGTTCTTTTTTAGTTAAGCCAGCTGATAATTCAACCCTGTGGAGAACATGTGGTAGACTGGTAGTATAAAAACAAAATTTCTAAAAACATAGTCAATGAATGATGTGGTGAACAGTAAGGTTACACCATAGACATATGTAGCAGAAAGACAATTAGGCCAAAAATACTGAAAGTGACACATGATCTGCATTTCAGAATCTCCCACTGTCTAATAACCATCCTCCTAACATCTTTTCTGATCATGAAAAAGGTAAACAAGAGACAGAAAGTAAATTAAAAAAGAAAATTAAAAACAAATGACAAAAATATAAACTACTTTTAAAAATACTTGAGCTACTTAAAGTGCATTTCTATCTTCTATTACCCAAAACTCTTACAAAAAAGAGTTGCCCCAACCTACAAAGAATTAACAGATTGTTGCTTCCTAGCTAGTGTGCTCAATTAGTGGAATGTGCAATAAAAAGCCAAACATTGCATGATAATCTTATGATATACCAATGTTAAGGTGGACACTAATATTGTTACCACTAGCTAGGATGCATGCCATATTTTGCTATCCCAGGGTGGTGGTACTAGAGCTTGTGCTATGTCCATGAGGTGACACCAATTCGTCCAAATGACTCACTTTTCTCCCATTTCCTGATCCTGATATCCCGAGACACAATGCCTCTGCCAATGGACCACCCGGGGCAGCTGGTGAACCAATCCACGAGTTCATCCAATTCAACGGCTGATGATGATGGGACGATGATGACAGCCTGATTTCGGGATGGTCTTTGGTGTTGTCCTCAGAGTTATCATGATCATGGTCTACACCGGCTGACATCGACAATGTGAGGGGCAAAATGGAATTGAGTGGCGAGGATGGGGTAGGGCAATTGTTAGTGTTGTCAATGGAATTTGAACCATCCTTGGGATCGCCGTGATCACCTAAAGACCAAGCATCGATAAACGGCCTAGGGAGAAGGCAGCTTTGGTTATGATCTTCAACAATAGATGATGTTCTTGTTGTGTCAACCCCTCCTATTTGTTGTGGGTACAAACAAGCAGTAGTAGTTGGTGCAACTTCCTTCTTGGTGAACCAATCTGGATACCTAATTTTAAAAGTCATAATTTTGTTTTAACCAAAAGGGAAAGTTTAGAGTCAAACACTCAAAAGAAATCCCTACTTAAGCCCCCTCCACAAATATGAAATAAAATATCATCCCCCACCTTCACCACCAAACATCATTTACTTGAGAAAAAACAAAATCCTCTTACACCCCACCACATAAATAACACACTCCAAAGTAGTAATATTTACTCCCCTCCTTAATTAATTCCCATTTCCCAATATATAATCCATATGAATAGAGTTGATAAACCTATTTTATTACTCCCATTTCAACTCAAATACAAGTGTGTGTCTAACCCGTGAATGTAAGACACAATACAACATTACAAATAGTCAAATCAGACACTTAGACACGTAGCTGTATCTAACATGTTTAGTCGAGTACAAGTAAAAACATAGCTGATGACCATTAATTACATGAACTGTACTAATTCAACCTCATACAATCAATAACAATGAGAAATGAAATCCAGAAAATTCAAAATGAACAAAAAAAAACATTAAAAACAGAGAAAAAAAATAATACCTTGGAAAAGAGTTGAATTGAGTAGGAGAAGGCAAGTCAAAGGAGTGAGAAGAGGGTTTAGGGATTGAGAAAGGGGTAAAGATAATAGGGTTACAAGAAGAAACAGAAGGTGTAGTTGTAACAGGAAGTGTTGCTGCTGATGTTGTTGATTCCACAGGCTTTCTTGAACGAGATGGACGGCCTTTGTGAGAATGTCTTTCACAATACTTTTGTTCAGGTGCTACGTCTCTTGAACACCTCCATTTCTTCCCATCCGTTCTTCTACACCTCCATGGCTCTGGATCTCCTCCTCCGCCTCGGCCCGCCCCCGCGTATCGCATTTCCACCCCTGCTTTCCTCCCCACTGTATCACCCAAAATTACATTCTTAATCTGACGTAAAGCGCGAGTGGAAAATGTATAATCGTTGCAAATAATTTAAAACGGAGTTAATATGTAAAATTAACTGATTAATTAATTACCAGAGGGTGATGATGTAGTAGTGATGGTAGAAGTTGAAATAGAAGGGTATTTAGACAGAGGAATGAGCAGTTCAGGAGGTACAGGCATAGCAGCCATCATATATTTATATATGATTGTTTGTCTCTCTAATTCTTGTCTTTGTATTGCTGTAAATGTCACTCTTCCTCCATCTCCTATCATAAAAACAAAAAAAAAACACCCATAATTTATTGTTCTACTCCTAATATTTTCCTGAAATAATTCAGCATCACCCGATTTCTAAGGGCGATGTTTTAAATAACAATTTACATAAAAAATATATATAGTTACCAAATCGTGAAACAGAAGAAAACCCAGAAATTGTAGGACTAGGACTCCTGTTATCTTCAGTATGATTGTGATTTTGTCGAGTTTGAAGCCACGGAACAACACAGTGTTGCTGCTGTTGCTGATGATGATGTTGCTGTTGCCTCTGTTCTTGTTGCGACTGCGGCTGCTGCTGCCATGGAATTTTTAAGCCTAACCCAACATCACAATAGTCTAAATTAACATCACCTTTGTCGAATTCCCAATTTCCATACACACTAGTTCGATTTCCACTTGCCATTTTGTATAAGAATCAGAAATCCAAAAGAAAGAATTATTATTGTTTCAGAGTATTTCTGATGTTAAAATTCCAAGTAAATTGAGACAGAGCTTTGTTTGTTGTTATATTGGAGAGAGAAGGGGTGGAAGAAGAAGCGGTGGCCGCCAAAGTAAGCAACTAAGATAGATTTGTTTGTTTATTTGGATTAAGCTAGCTTGCATAATACTATTTTATTAAAATGGTGTTTAATTTTTTTTTTTTTTTTTTTTTGTAGAAGTAGAATTTTGGGGGGTTTGAAGATGAAGGTGGTATGTGTTAATGCTTCCTAAGGTTCCAACATTGGTGTTAGTAAGTGAGTGACTAGTGAGTGGTGTGGAAACAGACAAAATTAGTAAACATACACTGCGTGAAGGAGAGAGAAACTAAGTGAGTAAGAGTGTATGTTTGTGTTTCAGAGCAGAGAGGTTTAGTAGTCTAGTGTCATTGTCTTCACTATACACCTCGCTATTCCGATTTATTGATTTTCGATTTTTTTTTTTTTTTGAAAAAATTGAATTTAAAAATATATAGTACGTACTCAATTGTGTCATATTTGAGTTTTAGCTTTGGAGTTGGACTTGAACACATTCTCAATTTTTGAATTTGAGGATGGGGTTGATACATTTGGCAATTTAATGTTGTTATTCTTATGAATTTTATGATCGGTGTTAACTAATTCGAATAAGTATAATTGGTTGTTCATTTTAGTTGTGGGTTCATTTAAATACTCTGTATATTCAAATAGAATTTTATTTGATTTAAAGTTTATATCATTGTTGGCTTAATTTTATTTTCTTAAACTTTTTAAACAATATGCCTTTCAATTTATTGCTCAATAATGAATATAGCATTTGGAGTGATATGATGAAATCTATCATAATTGATCACGGCCTAATAATTCAAAAGTTATAATGTTAGTAATGTCTACTAGTAATGTATTCTTTTGTCTTTTGTAAATGTTAATATCATACCATGTTATCTCTATTCAAAGTTTCACTAATAAATTTTTAAATTGCGAGTACTTTTTAATGAAGTAATCCTACTCGTATTATTATCTTTATTTACCACTCTTAAATAAACCAATTAAAAAAATTCATCAAACGTTGTTAGTTTAAATCACCCTCTCCTTATCCATGCTCAATCAATTGGTATAACCTATACTACTCGTACTTTGAATAGGAAAACACATACGAAGTAATAAATGGTGGGTTTTACCTTTGTTTGGAGGCAAGCTAATTTGTTAGACGGACTCAAAACTTGGCACCTCTTAAAGAAGTAGTCGTCCTTGTTCACGGCTTAGGTAATTACATCGCTAGATAAAAGTCGAAAGGGCCAAACCTCACCGTTTAAGATGTCCTTATACAGTTATACCTCATCTTCTCTATACTCTCTCATTAGCCGCTTAACCTTATTGGATGTTTGCATTAACCAAGCAATTCACATCACTTTCCTACTTTTTGCCTTTCTCTTATCTCCTCATTTACTTCCTATTAATACTTTTATTTATGCTCTTGATATTTTTTCACCTCAAGACAAACCCCTTTATTTTTCTTTGTTTTCTTCCCCTCGAC